AACTGACTAGGAAATAACAATTACAACCCAGGGACAAAAACCTTGTTACATAGTGTTACCTATAAAGGACAATGCTGTTTACCTTTTCATGAACAATTAACAAAACAATTACTATTACATTTCTTGGCAACGTGGGTGTATTAATCGGCTCTATGCAGAAATCTTTTGAAAGTAGAACTTCCGTAAAGTGATGATGTTGATGATGAAAATAATGATGAGGATAATTATGATAATGATAGTTAAAATAATGATTATGATTTTAACAAATTACACTGGATCACAAATTTTGAGTTTGGTTTTTGTCTCCAGACGCCACTAACCAATTTCTATGTAGAATTGCTCGGTTATTCCGAAAATCTAGTTTTTTTTTTCTATGGATACGTTTTCGAGATATTTGCAATTTACCGTTATTCAGCTCAAAACCAAAAAATGGTTCCACATAATGACGTATATCTACGCTCCAATTTAACAAATATTTAAACATTTTTTTTTTATGGCGAGCTGGTTTTTTTTGTAAGAGTCAAAAAAAATTGTTTGTAATTTGTTTTCGAAAACTAATGATATATTAAGGAACATGTTAAACATCGGGTTTTTGCAAACATTTTAATTTTATTGCAGATTCCGATAGAATACCTATTCACATATAATATTTGTATGGCAAGATTTGTCTTTAAGGCGACAAACCCCTAGAAATGGACGTGGCAATTGCAAGACTAAAGTTAGAAAAACGCAGATTTTATTGCGGATTTCGGAAGAATACCCCTCCGGTTCTCTAGACTTGCAACGACGTTAAGATGAAGTCTACGATGAGCAGATCGCGACATGACGATTTGAAGAAGTACATGATAAGTCAGAATAACGAACGAGTCAGGCGGGCGAACTCCCACGCCTGGTAGATTGGAAGGCAGATATGGTAGACGCTGTTGAATTTTTATAAAGTTTCGTTTTTATATTGGTTTCTGTGCGGCTGGTGGATAGGCATGGCAGTATACAGATTTTGACCATCATTTTGCCGTAGCTTACATACATACATATATGGGCACCGGCCACTGTGCGAATTTGAATTTTATGTAAAGTCATTCGTAACAACCAAGAATAGCATTGTTTTATTCAGAGTATTCAGCATATCTATATCTATCTATATATATAATACGCGAAGGCATTTTTTGTGCAGCATAAAAGATCTGCACCGTTCGTTCGATTTTCAAAACTGGGGTGCAAAATTAAAGCGCTTGGCCTGTAGATGTGCCAACTGGTTTGATTTTTTGAAAAGAGTTGCCACCTGATAATAAAATGCATTCAAATAATTTAATAATCAATGCCATCAGATCCACACCGTTCGTTCGATTTTCAAAAGTGAGGTGTCAAATTAATGGGCTCTGGCTGTAGGTTTAACTTTTTCGAAAAGAGTTGCCACCTGATAATAAAATGCATTCAAATAATTTAATAATCAATGCCATCAGATCCACACCGTTCGTTCGATTTTCAAAAGTGAGGTGTCAAATTAATGGGCTCTGGCTGTAGGTTTAACTTTTTCGAAAAGAGTTGCCACCTTTTAAAAAATTTAGTTCAATCTATATATATAATACGCGAAGGCATTTTTTGTTCAGGATAAAAGATCTGCACCGTTCGTTCGATTTTCAAAACTGGGGTGTCAAATTAAAGCGCTTGGCCTGGAGATGTGCAAACTGGTTTTATTATATCGAAAAGAATTGCCACCTGTTGACAATTAAATTCAAATTTTTAATATTCAGTACCATCAGATCCGTACCGTTCATTCGATTTTCAAGTCAGGTGTCAAATTGAAGGGTTTAGTAGAGTGTGGATGCTCAAGAAGGTTTTACGTTTTCGAAAAGAGTTGCCACCTGTTAAGAAATTAAGCTCAAATTTATTAAAAAGTTAAATCAATTATTAAATATGGGTATCAATCGGTTTTGAAATGGCTTTATAACTTAACTACGTATAGGAGGGTTGCCACACACAAAAAATGTAATTCAATTAATTAAAGGAATTTGGTAAGTGAATAAGGTATCGCTATATGGGTGTCATACAAAAAAGTTTTAAGAAGGTAGTAGTTTGAAAATATTTTGAATAGGCTTGCCACCTATTTGAGAAGTCTTATTGAACTACATATTTTTTATATTAAATATTAACGATGGATGTCAAATGAAAGAGCTCCAAGAAATACTGTAGTTTGAAGGTTGCCCCAGTTTAAAGGGCTAAACGAAAATTATATAATAGCTAAATGAATTACTAACCGATGGTTATCAATGGAAATTGGTTTACAATCTTTTATTTAAGAACTATATTTAAGAGGATTGCCACGTGTTTAAAAAATAAAATTCCACTTAATTCATCAGTTACATGAAATATTTATAACAATGTCAGGCGAAAAATATTTAAGGAAATTTTAGTTCAAAAATAATTTTTAAGAGGGTTGCCGCCTGTTTTGAAAGTGGTATTTCGTTTACTTATACATAAGTGACATGAAATTTTAAAATATGGTTATCAAAAGAACGAGTTTTAAGAAATCTTTAAGCTGAACATTTTTATATTTTTTTTTGTTGAAAAAATTAAGCTCAAATATTTAATAAGTTAAATGGATTGTCAAAAGATGGGTATCAATCGAAATGGGTTTGAAAATACTTTATTTCTAAACTGTATTTAGGGGAGTTGCCATGTGCCTAAAAAATTAAATTCAACTTAATTCATCAGTTGATTGAAATATGTATCTATAACAATGGCAGGCGAAAGATTTTAGTTTGAAAATACTTTTAAAGGGGTTGCCACCTCTTTGAAAAGTCGAATTCGTTTTACTTATACGAAAGGTACATAAATGAAATATCGAAATATTAGTGTCAAACGAAAGAGTTTTAAAAGAACTATAGGCTGATAATATTTTTAATTAGAGTTGTCGTCCATTTTTGTTTTTTTTTGAAGGTCATCATATCTGCACCGTTATTTCGAATTCCCAAAATTAGAAGTCCAATTAAAAAACTGGGATTCTACATAGATGTGCACAGGTTTTATTTTTTGAAGTTACAGGGAGATTTGAAATTTGATGAAATGAAAACCGACACCTTGCGAGACCTCTTATCACTGAGAAATGGTTTAGATTAATCATTAGGAATATTTTTAGAAGTTTATGAATATGGTTTCACCTGTTTAAAAAATTTACATACAAATATACAAATTTATTCATCATTCGAAAGTGCTTGAATGAAGAATAAAAATTTATTCGTTCTTCAAAATTGTTGAAATGATGAGAGAAAACGTATTCTTATTTTTTTATTCAATTATTCATTTTCCTGATTACGCCCATCCCTGTATTAATATTATATTATATATAGTATACGTTATATGCCCGTATGATATAAAGTTTTTCCTGTAATTTTCATTTGAAATATAAACAAAAAAAACTGAAGTCAAATTACAAAAACGATTCGGAAATGCGTCAGAGAGAGACAAATTCTGTGTGAAAAACAGCTGAGTTTTAACATTTCCTTACCGAAATTCAAATTTGCGTAAAACAATTTTGTTATAATAAAAAATGAAATTAAAGCGGCAAGTATTTCATTTAATTGTATTTCCATTTTTTTATGCTTAGGAAATCCCTCGTGCAAACGGCTGTGTAAGAAAAACGAACGAACTTACAGCCATCTGTCAAAAAGACCTAACGAAATAAAGGTTGGCCAGATTATTTTTAACAACCTGGTTTGTTCGCTTACACCGCTTACACAAGTACTGAAATCGTATCTGACCAACGTCTACCCCGTATTTTTTTTTTTTTTTTGTAATTTGGGGGTCTACCACATCTAGTCACACAAGGCTTAAAATCTACCACATTTTTAGACAGAACATTTGTTTACAATTTTCACATAACTCTAAAATTTCAACTCAATTTTTATAAGAAATATAAAAACTAATCAATAAATTTCTAAAGAGCTACATCATAAATTTTGCTTTAAATATATCTGTGCCTTAACTTTTTAAAATTGCAAAAATCCGTATATTTATATTTGCTTAAGTATTATGCAATGGAAAAATAATTTGGTGGATGGAGAACGAAGTTCCGCCCCGTCGATCTACGGTAATTTTTACCGTGAATTTACGGTAAGCTTTACCGTGAATTTACGGTAAGTTTTACCGTGAATTTACGGTAAGTTTTACCGTGAATTTACGGTAAGTTTTACCGTGAATTTGCGGTAAGTTTTACCGTACATCTACGGTATTTTTACCGTACATCTACGGTAAAAGTTGCCGTGGCGCGTGTGTACTGACACTGCCAATAACAAAAGATAAAGGAAAAAAATTCTATGCACTCTTAAAATACGTATCTAGTGTTACAGNCTGAAATCGTATCTGACCAACGTCTACCACGTATTTTTTTTTTTTTTTGTAATTTGGGGGTCTACCACATCTAGTCACACAAGGCTTAAAATCTACCACATTTTTAGACAGAACATTTGTTTACAATTTTCACATAACTCTAAAATTTCAACTCAATTTTTATAAGAAATATAAAAACTAATCAATAAATTTCTAAAGAGCTACATCATAAATTTTGCTTTAAATATATCTGTGCCTTAACTTTTTAAAATTGCAAAAATCCGCATATTTATATTTGCTTAAGTATTATGCAATGGAAAAATAATTTGGTGGATGGAGAACGAAGTTCCGCCCCGTCGATCTACGGTAATTTTTACCGTGAATTTACGGTAAGCTTTACCGTGAATTTACGGTAAGTTTTACCGTGAATTTACGGTAAGTTTTACCGTGAATTTGCGGTAAGTTTTACCGTACATCTACGGTATTTTTACCGTACATCTACGGTAAAAGTTGCCGTGGCGCGTGTGTACTGACACTGCCAATAACAAAAGATAAAGGAAAAAAATTCTATGCACTCTTAAAATACGTATCTAGTGTTACATAGCTCAGTCTAAAACCATAAATGCTTATTAACTAATTTATATACATTTTGATATCTCATTTATTTACAGGCCCAACACCGGTGCAAATGGTTTCACAAAACCGGCCCACACCAATCCCAGTGCAAGTACAAGTACCACAAGGTCAGGTGATGCAGCAATATGTTAACGAGAGCGGACCTTTTGCGCACGTTGTGCTATCGCCACAATACCAACAGCTCCACGCCAGCCAAGGACATATTCATGCCCCTTTCGTAAGTTTCATGCACATAAAAGCAGTTTAATTATACATACCTACATATGTGTGGCTTTTTATTAAAACAACTTAGTTTGAGTTCCCAAACGATATTTTAACCATTCACCAGCCATAGGTCTATTTTAATAGAAGCTTAATAAAAATATGCAATTTTTCAAGGGAAACTTAACATTTTTTAATTCTAAGTCAAGCGAGGACGCTATTTTCTCTGCGCTAATGCGACATTTGAAAAAAACGGACTGGCCGTGTTTTAGGGAGCAGCTTGGCAACCAAACTACGATGCCACCGGGGATATGATCAAGCCATTGAAGAGGCGGTGGTTAATTTAACCGCTGCCCTACGTGTAAGTTTGGATAAGACTTGTCCGTCTCGGCCAACTCTTAGCCGTACGCCTGTCCCTGGTTGAACAAAAAGCTTGAGGAGTGAGTCGAGGAGACTTCTAAACCGGGCCCTCAAAACTAATTTTGAGATGGAATTCTCTGCAAAAGGTGTTCAGCCCCACTTCTTCGGCAACACAGAAAGGAGAATTCTACGAAGTGAAAATTCCTTTTAAAAATTCGCTTTTATTATTCAAAATTCCAGCCTGGCAGCACCAAGTTTGATGTTATTTTGCTATCTTATTCATCGTTGATACGAAAACTTTAACAACAAATTATATCAAAACTATAGGGTTGCTAGAAAAGAGGGGTATTTTTGAAATCAGGGGGTCCTCAACCGCCGCTTCCTTACCCCTCCCCCTCATCACCCGTTTTCTAGAATTGGGTATTGTTCATTAAGTGACCGAACTACTTCGGGGTATTGCGTCCAAAGGGGTGACCCACACACGTATAGTCAAGTGTCTACGCATTATTTTAACAGTTACCTTTGTAATTTTCGGCCACTAATTTATTTAGAACTTCGGTTTGAATTATGCCTTTTTTTTGTAAAATTCGGAAATTAGCTCACATTTATCACTCCTTTTTCTCCTCAAGGCAGCCACTTCACCAATACATTTTTATATTCCCCTTTACTTTACACTTTATTCGAATAGCTATAACTTTCTTTATTACTTTAATTTTAACCAATTAATCACAATTTAATAAATAAAAACACCTTCATGACTACGCGTGTGCCTTTGGTTGCACATGCAAATTAAATGNTTTTTGGTGCTTTTGTTTTTAGTTTGAAGACACCAAATTAGAAAATCTTAAAAAAAATTAAGCAAAATTTATAGCAATCGTAAGTGTGGTAAGCAATTTTACAAAAATTTAAACAAAATCATGGCACAGTGACAATCATAAGTGACAAAGAAATATGTGGCAGCACCTTCAATCATGCCAGAAGAAATCGACCGTTGTGCAAGAAACATTGATTTTTGAATCGGCATCCTTGCAATAAAATTATATATTCATATAAAGTCCATAAAATACACCAATAAAAATTTGGTGCTTTTTCAAAGTCAAAACTTGGCAACACTGCCTTTTGGTCGATGCTTCCTCTTTTTCTTGTCGAGTTCGTCTTGCTCTCTCATTCTGGTATTTTTGGACGTCACGGCCAGTTGCTCTCAGCTCGATTGGCGCAATCTTGTATTCTATCATTCTTGCAACCTGTAGTTGTTGAATCATGCTGTCAAACTCTAAAATATACAAGAAGGATGAGAGACAAAAGAAAATAAGATATAACCCACTGAGCATTCAGAATTTAAACCTTTCCATGGAAAATATGAAAGGTGTTCTCTGCAAAAGGAGTTCTCTGCAAAAGGTTTTCAGCCCCCCTTCTTTGGCAACACAGAAAAGAGAATTTTACTTACTGAGGGTTATAATCCCTAAGTGCGGCCCAAGTCCGCCTACGCAGCAAGTCAGTTTTCCCACTAATTTGACCGATAGTTATAGGCCATAGAGGTGGGTAACTCAACTCAGAGTTGAGTTATTGAGTTGATTCCTATAAGTGAATCGGTAACTCAGACTCCCTGTCCAAAAAAATGTAACTCAGTAACTCAGTTGATGCCGTAGGGCTCACATGAATCAATTGAATCATAGTGGCTCATATTTGTCCATATAACTCTCTCGCTTCGCCACAGTGTTTAGCATGGCAAAGTCTTGCATTTTGTTTTTGCACGAGGCGAATTTATACAAGGTGGTGGCAAGAATACAACAACAACAACCACATGTATTTTGTATTGCGGGTGTTATGTCAAACCTCACAAATTCTTATAATTTCGTTTTTTTTTTAGTTTTTCTCGAAATATGTATGTATGTAAGATATATAAAGATGTGCATATCAAATCAATTGCCTTTCCAACCATATCCACATTTTGAAATTCGGTACAATAGGTTTCGAAATATAAGCTTTTGAAAATATTGAAAATTCCACCTTTACCCTCCCCCTAGCACCGCCCTATTAATTTGCACACAAAAAAAATTACACCTTTCAAATCAGTAGAAAGGAGCTGACCACGCCCACTTTAAAGTTTTGTTTTATCTCAACGGCCGCTATACCGCATCTATGCCTCAAAACGAGTCTACGATACGAATGAGTGTAACATACAAAGAGTCAAATGAGTTAGTTGAATGAGCTGACTCCTTAAAGTGAGTTGGAGTCATTGAGTCAACTCCTATAAATTTGCTGAGTTACCCACCCTTAATAGGCCAGACTTCTTGCAGAGTAGGTTCTGGTACTCGATTCCAAAATATATCGTTTTAAAACTGTCGAGTAATAAAAATCGTAATCGAACGCCAAAAGTATCAATATGGTATCGTATTATTATCGAAATTCGCGTCCCTACGACCAAAGCCACGTAGTTGATTATATACATTCATGTATTCATATTAGGCTATTAGTCTACATTATGGCTTCAAATAATTGTAATCCAAGTGAAATCGGTTTGTCAGGGCAAAGGAGAAAAACGCATATGAAAGTAAATATATTATTGTAGTTATGTATTAGTAAATTAAAATACTAAATGCACTTTCACTGTTTCTTTAATTTCAGTTGGCTGCCAATGGCACCTCCCACTTCTATTCACCAATACAGGCGGGATTTCCAGGTGGCGGACCGGCCCATTTCCACGCATTATCAAGTGGCCACGTCCAAACGCAGCAACCTCCTCAACAGCCACAAGCTCTGACAGCTCAACAGCAGCAAACGTCGACACATCAGCAACCCTTATCGCATTCACCTTCACCTCCCAATAATTACCATAAAGATGAACGCAGCCAGCGTCAACACACAAAGTTATTGCGAAAACTTGAAAAACAACGGGAACTAAGTAACTACATTATTTATAGGGAATTTACATGATTCAACTTTCACAGGCGATTAGTTGAACCAAAAGTTGGACGAAAGTTGGCAGCCGACCAACTTCATTGAAAGCCATTAGTTGAAAGGTCGTTTCTAGGCGATTGCTGCTTTCAACTAAAAATCGCCTGAAAAATCGTGTAAATTCCCTCTGAGATTTTCTTGTTTTCTATTAGGCCAAAATTATGTACATACATACATATGTATACGTACATATGTTTCGTTAGTAACTTATTAATACGTATATTAAATTTCAAATAATTCTTAATTAATTCACATGTTATCTGGAATTTAAGACCCTGCGATGTCAACACCTACCAATTCACCGTCCCCTCGGCGTACTGATATAAACACACAAAAAAGTCATTCACCTGTATTGACCAATAATAGTAGCAACACAAACGGACCTAACCATAGCCAAAACAACACTGTACTGAATGCAGGAATGTTGATAGTACCTTCATCGCTTGCAAGTTCTTCTGTAACAAGCAACAGCACCACCGGATTAAACCTCAGTCTTCAAAGTAGGAACCAAAATCATGTTCAGCAACAACAGACTTCGTCTCAGCAGTCATCAAGCAACCAGAACTTGCATAGCCGACGAATCTCTCAACGAAATGGCAGCGTACCCTCAAATGCACACCAGGTAAATAGCACTAATGGATGCATGGCATCTTCAGTTGAAACTTCGGAAGACAGCATGGAAGGCATATTAAATGCTGTTGATGATGAAGAGGACTATCAGTCTCTGCTAATAGAGCAGCTTTCTTCAATAAAGAAACCCAAAGTAAGTAAAAGTGTTTATTGTCCGATTGTTTTGTGCTTTTCTAAGTTTGTCTTTATCTCTTCAGGTAATTAATTTAACTTCGAGATCTGCAAAAATCGTCTGGGAAGCCGCAGCAATCACAGATCCCCAGATAAACACCCGTGAACTGCGTTATAATGTGCTGTTTAGTGATCGCGTAAAAGACTGCAAGTACAAGAGTCTTTATAAAGGCGAATCATATGATTGCATTGTGCAGGACTTGCAACCTGGCCAAGTATATATAGTGCGTCTTCAGGTGAGTAAAACCAAATTAATATATATATATATATATACATATGCTTACATATATGGACATATAACCAGTGACTTTAACATTTAGGTACACTATGAAAAACTACAGGGATCGGCCTCTGATCCAACCGAATTTACAACCCCACCCTGTGAACCAGATCAACCAATGCCACCTAAACTAGTAATGCGGACAAAAAATTCATTACATTTGCGTTGGACGAATCCGTCCTCAAATGGATCCCCCATTCAACACTACATATTGGAATATGACGAAGGCAAAACTAATTTTACATCAGCTGGCCGATCAGCACGCCAAAATTCTGGAAGTGAAGGGCTAAATTTTGTTGAAGCCACGAAAACCAAAGGCAAACACTATACTTTAACAAAACTACAGCCTTCCACCCTATACTATTTCCGTCTGGCAGCTGTTAACGACGTGGGAGCTTCTTTGTTTTCCAGCGTTTGCTCATTTAGCACATCTTGCAATCCGCCGTCTGCGCCGAAGCCACCAAAACTACAAAGCAGTACCTCTTCTTCTATTCGAATTTGGTGGGAACGACGACAACAGGATGATGATTATGTATTGCAAATATTTGATCGGGAGTCTGGCCACGGCTATCTTAACGCTTACAATGGTCCCGATTGCACACATGAATGCAATCAACTGCGACGTGCCACATCTTACCAATTTCGATTGCGTGCTGAAAATGAAGCTGGCAGCTCTCCTTGGTCTAATGAGGTCAGTTTTCAAACATCTCCTGAAAAACCAGGAAAACCGGGCAAACCACACGTGAAAGGAAAAATACATGGAACACATTTTCGCGCGCGATGGGACCCACCTGCAGATACAGGAGGCGCTGAAATACTTCGCTATTTTCTCGAAATCACATCTGGTTCCAAATTTGAACGCGTTTATAGTGGTGCCGATACGGAAACTACTTGCGATCGTCTACAACCAGGTACAGCTTACCAATTGCGAACTTCATGTGAAGGTCCAGCAGGTCTCAGTCCTTATTCCGATATAGCGCACATAACATCAGAAGCAGTAGTACCAGCTGCACCGCCGCCACCTTATTACGACAATCCGCCCGGTCCATTCGCGGCAGTTTTAAGACTGGATAAACCAGATTATAATGGCGGCTCGCAGGTGCTAGAATTTGAGGTCCAGATGAGGCGTCCATTGGACGGACAATTCGACATTGGAAATAAAACCAACGACCATTCCATTGTGTACCGCGGACGGGATTCATATTGTGTGGTCAAAGATTTGCAACCCGGCTGTTCTTACGAAGTGCAAGTGCGCGCAATCAATCGCATTGGTGCAGGTGCCTGGTCATCATGGTTCCGATTCTCAGCAGCAGCAGCACCTCCAAATGCTCCTACCGATTTGAAAGTTTTGGTCAAATCAGCAACACATTTACTTGTGAACTGGCAAGAACCAACCTGTAATGGGGCACCGATCGTTGAATATCGCTTAGAAAGTGCAAGTGTTCAAAATGATTTTAACTCCGAGTTGGAGAAGTCATCAATACAAATGCCGGCATTCCAAACATGCTATCAGGGTGCTCAAACCAGCGTCGAATTACGCAATTTATTACCGTTTACAATGTATTACTTCCGTGTAAATGCCAGCAACGCGGCTGGAGTAAGCAAATGGACAACAAACATTAACGAACGAACACCAGCTGCCGTTCCTGCTGCACCCCACATCAAAGACTGCGAATTTACCGCCACGGAAGTGTCACTTAACTGGACGGAACCTGAATGCAATGGCGCTCCCATTACTGCATATACTATTGAGTATTCTGAGAAGTCAATTACAACGACAGACACAAACACGGTTTATACAGTTACTGGGCTTTTGCCTGAGACGACCTACAAATTCCGCTTGCAGGCCATAAACAAAATTGGCCCAGGGCCATTTTCCGCATATGCCAAACTCACAACGTTGCCTTCGCCTCCTACTCCACCTGCTCTAGAATGTACTGGCGTTGGGCATAACTTTATTAAGTTAAAATGGGGGGACGGCAAGAACCTGGACTTCGTAAAATACTATGTTGAAATGTTTGTACAACGTGCGAAAGAGTTTCAAATCGTTTACTCTGGTACAAACAGTATGTGCAAAGTGAACAAGTTGCAAGAGCGTACCGCCTATACTTTCCGGATATACGCAAGTACTGACCGCGCCGGGATAGGAGACTACTCGCATGAATATATATTTAGTACGACTCCCACCTTACCGAATAGCATTAAAGCGCCCCGAGTGGCCATGGAAGGAGCTGCTGCTTGCTTGCTAACACACGGCGCTGGTGGTGCTGCCGGTTTTATTCCATCCGGAATGCTGCCTGAAACGCCTACTAGTTTCATAGCCGGCTTGGGAAACCTTTCTTTAGGCGTACCACTCACTCTTGAATGGCAAAATTCAAAAAATACCTTCAGCGATCGGATTGAGTATGTATTACAATATGCAATTGGCAAAGACGGTGACTATAGGCGGGTGAGTTATAATAAACATACGTAAGTAGTTACTTACATACATACTTATAACTATAAATATAATATGCACCAATGCAAAAGACCCTAAATTATTATTTTTCGNCAAAGACGGTGACTATAGGCGGGTGAGTTATAATAAACATACGTAAGTAGCTACTTACATACATACTTATAACTATAAATATAATATGCACCAATGCAAAAGGCCCTAAATTATTATTTTTCTTTATGTTAAGGAAACTTTGCTTTCAGGGTCAATAAATAAAATAAAATTTTTTGTTAAATCTCAATTTGAGATGCATTTGAGAATCAGTCCTTTTCTCAAATCTCCAACGTTAGTTCTCAAATGCATCTCAAATAACCGTTAGGCACTTTTTTAATATGGAATTTTCCTGAACCGGGCTATTCTGCGCTGGTAATAAAAAGTTTGTAACCGTTAAATGAAGTTCCAGTCAATTTTTAAACCCTTTTCGCATTATGTGTACTTTTGTAACCGGTAAATTTTGTTACCATCTCATAAGCTGGTAACAAAGTATTGCCCCGTGAAATATGCAATGCCAGAATTTGCACAATTCTTCATAGCTGAATTGGTGAATGTTTTAAATGCATTACCAACGTACCTAGAATCGCTGGTAACATTTTTTGGTAATACAATTTTCCGGTTACAAAGTTTTCGGTAACGTGCAGAATAGTTCTCTTATTTTCAAATTGAGAAATGTTGAATTCTCAACTTTTTCTCAAACGTGAGAGGAGCGGAACGAAATGAAATCCAGTTACTCTCATTGAAATATTTGTATAGTGTTGCCAAAGATACATGTAAGAGAAACACAGTTTTTATAAGATTGGAATTTTTATTTATGCAGTTTAACAGTTTATTTAATAGTTTTTTTATTCGTAGAAATGGTATAGAATTCTTCTGCACAAAAATACTGTTTATCGAGTTTGCATTCCCGGTGTCAAAATACTAATTTTAGACCATTTTCCAATGGTGCCCCAGGGGTTTGTGGAAGGTTTCTAGGGATCACGTGTGACTTTTTACAAAGTGTGAACTGTGCTCTTTCTAGTCGGTTAGATATCAATACCCACGCCCCCTCCCCTTCCGCCCACTAATCCAAAAACTGTGGACAAATAACTAAACGTTTTTAAATTAAACACGGCACTATCGTTTGCTGCTCGGTGTCCACGAAATAAATGAAATCGTTTGTTTTTCATTTTATGGGGAAAAATTAGTGATAAAGTTAATATTTGCATTAAAATTGAAACACATTTCAGGAAAAAAGAAGAGATATTACTGAAAAATTATGTCTAGAATTGTTGCAGCACAGTACATATTTTAAAAATTGCAGATTTTTGTAAAATATCAACCAGAAAAACAGAAAATATCTCATCTGGGTGAATTTTTAGACGCCAAATGAAGTGAAATATCACGACCGATCGTAAATTTTAAACGCCTAAAAAATATATTAAGGGGGTTCGCAAAGTATGTACCATCAGAGTCATATTATGAATTATAATGAAAAATATTTGGTTGTGGTTTCAAGTTCTGTAAGCATTCATTTAAGCTTTTAAAGTTTACGACATACAACAATACGACACTTACGACAGCGCTGTGAATCCCTCAAATATTTTGTATAACCTGGCGTCGTATGAATCAGTTTGTGGTTATAGCCATCTTTTGGGCTATTTTATACGTAACCTACGTTGAAGTTTAGGAGCTGTGACTCCGACAAAGCCTGCAGGCCTGGGCTGATCCTTTTTTATGTAATCGTCTAGGTTTATATAGTATAAGTATTTGTATAACTATGTATGTATGTACATATATTTATGTAGGTACTAATTAAACTATGCTTTTACCTTTTCTAGATTTATAGGGGGCTAGAGACCAAATTTACAATTGAAAATCTAGAGCCGGGAACTATGTACCAATTTCGCGTTTGTCCAATTCGAGTTACTACTACCGGCGAAGAGTTATTTGGTCAATACACTTCTGCATTCCGATACCAAGTTCCTCATATTGCATCACTGGACGACATCGATGGCAACATATTAGGAAATATTTCCAGCGTTTTCGGAAGTGCCAACAACAGTGGCCACGCGCCTATGGGCTGCCACGGACATTCGCATCTGGCGCATCACGTACACACTTTGCATACACACCACTCGCACAACCACCCTCCACACAGTCATTCGCATCACAGCAGCAGACAATCGTCGTCCAGTCTTCACCACCGTTCTGTAAGTGCATCTGCTGCCAGTCCGAATGGTTGCAGCAGCAGCAGTGGCAACAACAATAGTAACGGTAGTAGTAATAATGGTGGGAGTACAATTGTTATTGGCCCTAATGCTATTGGCTTAATACCGCTGGGTACGTCGATGGCAAATGAATTGGGTGCAGTTGGATTCGCTAGTTGTGATGATCCAATGCATCATCACCACCACCATCATCACCAGTTTCATGGAGGGAATATTGCTGCTGGACTCGAAGCCGAAGTAGCTGATTCAACGACTGCATCGTTTTTAGCGTCCACTGCCAATAATCTATTGGCAAACAACGTCCTATTGGCACATGGAAGCTCATCAACAAATCATGGGCAACATGGTGCTGTACGGCGGTGTATAAGCAAGATAACTACAATTTACACAAATCGTAAGCGTTTCACAGATCAGGAAAAGGCAGTTTTATTCATGGTTTGCTTTCTATTTTTCACGTTTTTATTTGCAACGCTTGTTAAAGCACTCATGCGATAAGCTTTGGCTGAAAATAAATAAAAAAAACCAACCCTCCCGATTATAAAGAAATGAAGGAAGGGAGGAAGATAGGTATTAATAAAGGTAGTAAAATATCGGCTTGTCAGATAACTGTCTATTAAAAATCGATTACTAACAATTACAGTAATACGGGGTTTACATGAGGCGATTTTGCAGGCAAATATTAGTTAAAAGCAACAATCGCCTGGTGTGAATGGCCTTGCAACTAATCGCTTCCAATTTTGATTAAACTAATCGCCGCTTAAATTGATTGCGAAGTCACCACATGTAAAGGCCGTAAAATGCGTAATAAAAACGAAAAATAACTAACCACAATAATTCCACCGTTTGTGTATTTCGGATTTTAGTGGAATTTAACACTGTTGTGTATTACAGTGTTTTGAAGTAAACAGCATCGCATAATAACCTTTTTCAAACGAATCTAAAGAAGTTGCTTTCGCGCCAAAATCCGAAATTGCCATCGTTAAAATTCGTGTGTATCGTCATCGCCAATGCGAAAGGCCCTATTAGACATATTTTCGAAAACTATACCGTTTGTTGCATTCAGATACAACAATACAAAAATTCCAAGCCACATCAAATACGACATTTGGCACTGACGGTGGAGATGTATATTATGTAAAGTTATTTACATATTTATTTTTTATATACATACATATATGCACGGGTCTAAACACTGCGTTCCGTAATTATATCAACAGTCAAAATTTGCCAACCTTTCTAAACTATTGGATGTTGGAAATTACAATATAAAGCAAACAAAGGTAACGCAACAATTATGAAGCAACGATATTTTCTTAATTATTATTATTTTAATTTTTTACAACTGTAACAAGAAAGATTAGACTTACCTTGCCATAAGAAATTACAAAATATAATTACCCAAAAACAACGTCAACACCAGTTATCAAGCCGTACAGATACATTATCGAATACAAAATCAAGCTAGTTCGAACCAGGGAAACACCCCACATATAGTTTGTTATGTATGTATGTATGAATCTCAAGCTGATTTACTCGTATGTTGATATAGTTATGGAACGGAGTGGTAAACATACATATGTATGTATATGGACTTTGGCGACTATTATATGAACTCGCCTTTACCATTAAATGTTCAAGTGGAGTCATTGCGTTTTGTTATGGAGCTTTTCCATTAATAAAAAAATCGTTTCAAATCAAAGATTTTCACAAACTTCATTTGGTAAACTATTCGAACATATGCAATCATACATACATACATATGTACATACATACAAAGTGGCGCTCACCTAAATAGCACACTTTTATTTTTTACAATATTCACAATGTTTTACGTGATACATTTATTTCGTTAATTTTTTGCAAAGTTCAGGATATTTTAACAAATTTAAAAAAAAGTCATCAACATTTTTTTAGAAACTTATTGGTATGCAGTTTTGTGCTTGTTCAAGTTTAGTATAATAATATGCAAGCTGGAAAATTCGGAAAAAATCCACATAAACTTTGATTTATGTGGTTTATGTTATAGAATCTACTATATTTTTATACAAAATTTGCGAAAAAACGTATCGTTGTGAATATTATAAAAATTAAAGTGTTCTAAGTGTTCACTGTACATAAATATGTATAAATCCAAATTCATAAATGTATAGATATTATAGAAGTTTATAACTGTTTTCTACATTCATCCTAGGTAATCTAATATTCTTTTATAGCGAGCGAAATTAAGGAAAGTGCATTAAATGTGTTATTTTTTTAATTCAATTTTTAACAAAATAATTGGCTGCTGTGATATTTATGTATATTTAATTAAAACCTTTTTACATTTGTGGTCAAAATCACAGCTGAAAATCACCACCAAATGTGCTTGTTTGGGTACTCTAAATTTAAATGTATGCAATGAATGTTCGATAAAATGTTCTCTCCTAATTGGACTTATTCGCTTCAAACCCGTTAATTTTATTGATTTTGGCCAGTTCCGTACACGTTCACCCCGGTCTTATTATTGCATTTTGTGCAGCTTTGAACAAACAACTACAAACAATCTTTAATTAATGTACATGTCTATGTATGTATGTACAAATCAAAATGTAGTTAGAGGAGAAATAGTGTGGCAAGAAATACATACATAAATACATACATAAAATACATAGAAGAAAACTACGCCAACCTTATTTATATTACTATGAATAAGTTTTATTGATGTATTTAAAGTCTATTGTTAATAATTATGCCCTTGAACATACACGTTTGTATGTTGTGCAAATTGTTATTTGTAAGTACTACATAAAGGTATGTCTTAATGTTTCTCAATACAGCTGCCTTACCTAACCTAATACTCGTATATACATATGTATATATCTACACACATATGTACATCTTTTGAAGTGTCAAATATCTAATAGCTTTTTATATAACATGCTGAATTTATAAAAAAAAAAAAATACATTAAAAAAAATCTCGAGCTGCTTTTTGAGAACTTTAAAGACTTTTAAGCTACATACATACATAAATCGTTTCTGATACACACCGTAGTGATGATACATACTAATCCGATTGCCATCTTTTGTCCAGTTTCCATTTGTGAAAACATTGGCTTGTAAGAATATTATGAAATTAGATTAATAAGCAATCACTATATTATGTAAATTAAAGTCAATTGAAAAGTAACAGGAAACATTTTTTAGTTGACTACCTAATACTACGTTTGACAAACTTTATTGAGATTCGCCATGATGAAATTTTCACCCTTATGCATAAAAAAATCTTTTTACCAAACTATGTATCTTNTAATAATTCGCGCAACACTGCAGTTGTGATTGCATCTCGAACAAGCCCCTTTATTGAGATTCGCCATGATGAAATTTTCACCCTTATGCATAAAAAAATCTTTTTACCAAACTATGTATCTTTCTTTACTATCCTTAAAATAAAATGAAGAAAATCAAAAGGCATACTTACATATACATATGTATGTATACATATATATATATATATGCACATATGTATGCATGTTCAAAATTAAAAACGATTAACTCGCTTAGGAAACCTAACATTTCTCAATATACATACATACATACATAAAACTAATAAATATACTACATACACACAAAAATCATAACAAAAAAAAAACTATTAAAGAAAACAATTAACATTCCAGCTGGTTTTAACTTTTTTGTACATATATAAACATCTATAAACATACATATTTCTTCATGCTTACATATACATATTCATACATAGAACATAGATTCAGGAAATTAAAGTATTTGCCAATTCGCATTCAGTAAATTTACGCAATTTTTATGCTTTTTATATAACACACAAAAATATATGTGTACATATACAAACATACATATATATACAAATTTAAATGTTATGTGCAAAAATATTAAAATTAAATTATCGATTGTGAAATTAAAGAAAGTCAAGATGCCTCCATGCGTCGTATTTGGTTTGTACGTATGTACATATATATACATATGCATGTATGTACATATAGTTATATGCTATATACATATATATTTATATATATATCTATTTATATATATATGTATATATCTTTACATATTTACTTGTTTTTAAATTAACATATTCACGTCGCGAATTTTTTCCACAAATAAAAATTTATAAAAAATTTGCGTGGATGTATGTGTGCGAAATTCAATATAAAAGCGGCCGTTTGTACTAGCACTCGGTAGGAGTCAGATTCCATGCCAGTACCGAGCAACATAATCAGTTCTATCGCCAATTCTATGTGAATAAATCGTTCCCATAATTTAACAAAAATAAATTGGGAAAAATTGTTTTTGTTCTGCTTTATCATTTTTTGGGAATATTTGTTCACATGGAATTCGCGATAAGACCGATTAAAAATTCAAATAGCGCTCGGTCACCTCCAGAGCCATTCGCTTTGCTTTGGTTCAGTTGTTGAGGATTATCGGTTGTTGTTGTTGTAGTGGCTACAGATCGGTTAGTCCCTCAATCGTTGTCGTCAAGCTCTACTAACGGTAGCCCCAGGAAGCGTGCAGCCTCGACGGGGTCTGTCCATAAGGACAGGGGCGTTATCGAAGTGGGATTTATAGGGCGGGCATTCGTTGATAACATCTTCGTTTAATCTGCTCAGTTATGAGTTCAACCTGCTGCAGTAACCAGAACACAGTTGAGCTATTGTGGTCCGAGGTAGACGAAGTTCTGTCTCGTCCACGTCTGGTGGTTGTATGCCCAGAATGGCATTCACGGGTCGGGAATCTACATAACTCGAGACCGCCTATCTGTGAATGGGCCTCCTCGTGCAGGTGGTGTTGCGGCGACATCAAAAGGCATCCCGTCGCCCGATGACCACACGGGCGCTACGTAGTTCAAAACCGGCCGGCCAATTGCCTTGCACGTTTCCAGCAACGTTTCTTTGTCTTTGCCCCAGGTGCTGCCGGCTAGCGACTTGAGGACCTTGTTGCGGCTTTGTACTCTGTTGACAATTGCGGTTGTATGCGCCGAGAAGGAGAGCAGGCTACCGAATGTTACTCCGAGTATCTTCGGGTTGTTCACCATCGGAATTCGTGTATCATCGATGTGAATTCCCAGTTGTAGTCTGACCTCCTTCGTCCAGGTGGTAAAAAGTGTCACTAAGGAATTTTGTAGGCGAGAGGGTTAGGCTCCGTGCAGTGAAGAAGGGAGAAAGCTTGGCGAGATAACCGTTTACTTTCGAGCACAAGTCATCAATTTCATTCCCGGACGCCATGATCGAGCAATCGTCGGCGTAAGAGACAATCGAGACTCCCTCTGGTGGTTGAGGGAGCTTTGAAATGTAAAAGTCAAACAGTAATGGGAAAAGGACACCATCCTGTGGAACCCCGTTTTATTTTCCTCGGTTTGCTCGATTTGTCTCTTAAAAGTTACTGACGAGTGACGACCACTCAGATAATTCGCCGACCACCGTTTGGGAGAGAGGAGGCCTCTATGTCTTCTAGTAGCGTTGAATGGCTGACAGTGTCGAACGCCTTAGACAGGTCAAGCTTTACTAGAATGGTTCTCTCACAGGGGCGCTTTCGGTTAAGGCCACGAGCTATCTGTGTGTTTATGGCGTTAAGTGCTGTTGTTGTGCTGTGCACTTTACGGAATCCATGCTGATGCTTCGTTGGGGTCAGGTGGTTTGTAAAATACGGGTGTAGCAAGGCCTTTAGTGTCTTCGCGACCGGGAAAAGGAGGGTTATCGGACGATAATACTCTCCTTTGTTGACTGGTTTCCCCGGTTTGAGCAGTGGGAACACTCTCCCCATCTTCCAGACGTCTGGAATGACTAGAGTGGCCATTGACAAGTTGAGGACCTCCGTTAGGTGCGGTATTCCCGTAGGACCCAAATTTTTCAGCATCAGCATGCATATTCCGTCGGGTCCAATGGCTTTTGAGGCTTTCGCCTTCCCGATGGCTACCCTTACCTCACCGCTGGTGAAGACAAGAATCGCACTGGGGTTTGGCAGTTTGTGCAGCCTTCCGGTCACTCGACATTTGGCTTTATCCACCGGAGGATGCAAGATGAACTGCCGGCTAAAATAGGTCGCGCATCGCTCCGGGCCCGACGAAGCGTGGTTAAGTTAAGAAGAAGAAAAGTTGACATAGGTCCGGTGATCCGCGGAAGCAAAGTCGGCTGGTTTATCAATAGAGATGATAATGGTAGCAACTTAATTGGTTTTTTTAAACGGAAATGGTAATCGTATCTCGTCATAGCCGAGCGGTAGGACATTTACCGATCGATCTTGACTGTAGATTTCGTCTTCTCCCCTGGTTTCTGGGCTGTTACCATTCAAAAGGACCGAAAAAAATGTTCCCTCAATGATTTAATGATGACAAGCCTCTCAAGCTCTACATCCTCAGCCTGCTAATCGCAGCGTCGCTCTGTAGACGCCGACTTTCCTCGTCAGTTTGCTGAAGAGTGCTCTGAGAGAGCTGAAACTACTAATTTTTCTACATAAAATTTTCCAAGGCCACCATAAAAATACAATTACCAATAAGTGCTCATTTACACACGGCGATTTTTGTTGCCGCAACTCGACGTTTGTAGGAACGAGGAAAAGAGAGGGGGAGTTGCTCGTGCTCGGGCAACACGCTTTGTGCTCTCGTTCGTCTGTGTAAATTGAACCGCTGTTCACAGCTGGCAACAACAATTGCATACACACAAATCGCCGTGTGTAAATGAAACGAGCAACAACAAAAGGGAATGTGAAAAATCGCGTCGACAAAAGTTTCCGTGTATAAACACAGTCTAAGCGACAGCAGTTTCCAGTTGCATTTTGTAATATCCATTTTGAGAGAGATGATAAAGATTGCCAAGCGAAAGCAAATTGTGTGCCAGAGCTTATACCAAGGCATGTCCAACAAGTTTTAATGCTACAGCTTAGTTGTTGCTTCTGGTATCGAAAGTGTCAAAAACTGTTCTGATTTTTTTCTTTTAAATCAAGCGTGCCATGTGAAATCCAAAAAAAAAAAAATAAAAAATTTAAATTATAAAAAATACAAATTGTTGCAACTTTCTTTCTTAGTAAATTTGTTTGCCTCTCGAAGCATTGATCCATCCTTTGCAAGACTTAGTAATCAGCGGTTGTGCTGCTGAGTTGTGCGAAAGCAGCAAAAGCTGCTATTCAATCGGTTGTTTTGTATGGAAAATGGTTTGACAAATTTTAACAATTTAGAATTTTTGTGAGAAGGAATTAAAAATATTTGACATTTTCGAGACTAACTAAATTCAAAAAGATCAAATCAGCTGCTCTACTGATACTACCTGTTCAATGTGTCTTGGCTTATACTATCAAAAAGTATCAAAATGGCGTTTGCGTTCAATAATAAGCGTTTTCGTCTTTGAGAGCGAATGCTGTCATATTCCGCGATATTTAATTACTTGGTAAATTTNAAAAAAAAAAAAAAAAAAAAATGAATCTAATAAGTTTTAAGTTGCTACTTGCGATATGTAATGTTATCTCAGACCCTGCATCGCTACTATAGTTATACTGCCGCCCGCAGTCGCCCCCTTAGCTTCCTCTTTAAAGCAAATTATCGTAACTTTAGAATAATGACTGTCACAAATTTCGCGGTTAAAGGGTAAGACGCCACTACAAATTGAAAATAAAGCCTTAATCTTTGGACTTAGCACCGGAATCCCGTATTTTTAGGGAGTCGAAATTTTTTTTGCATTTAAAAGTTTTCAATGGAATATATGCAAAACCGCAATATCCGCTTATATACAGAAAATTGTGTACCATTGTGAACATTAAGTATCTTTTTTTTTAATGGCATTTACATACAATCTTAGTACTTAGAACTAATAAGTATATTCAATTCGCTTTTAACTTTTTTACTTTCGATGTTGCTCGTAATATTTGTGGCATGAGTAGAAATGGGAACATATTTACATATATATAGGCCCTTATTATGAGCTGCATTCGATTTTCGATCTTCGCTGGCTATCGAAGATCGAAGCTCGAAAGTGAAATTCGTATTATGAGCTATGCAAGCGTGTCGAAATTTTCGTTGAGTATCGAATTTTCTGTCGAACAGAATTTTGCTTTCGATGGTGTAGCGAAGTGTTAGAAAATTGTGAAAAATGTATGATTTTGTATTTGTTTTCTTACATTTTGGCGGCTAGACACTAATTTTAAACAATTTTTATTAATTTCATGCAGTTCTAACATCGTGAATACTAAACACAAGCGCGAAAGGCTGGTTTTACTTGTGAAAGAAAATCCCAATACTCTGGTGGCGCGATCTCTGCGAACAAAATCGTAGCGCTGTTGATAGTTTTAAAATATTTTAAATAGATTTGGCTCACAAACGCCTCTTTAGATGGTCGGAACTTTTTAATGAATCTGTAGACAAATTTCTTAAATATATATTTTATATCAAAATATATTCGAAAGACTAATAAACTTAAACTCTCTTAAACATTTGCTACTCTTGGCCAGTTTACTAAGCTCTCATCCTCTGACGAATCGTTGAACCCCAGAACTTCGTTGTACTCATTTTACCACGTTTTTATAAACTTGCTTTCTTTTTTACTTCATTTTAATTAGAACAAATTTACATACATAAATATGTATAAGCACACTATTTAGTTTGCTCGATTTGTAAACATTCTTCATCGAATGAGCGCCATAATACCAAATGAAAATTCGTTCGCTCAGCACTTTCGACCACAGTCGAAAATCGAATGCAACTCATAATAGGGGCCATAGTATGTAGTATATAGATTCTTATTTACACGCACATACATACATACATACATGCATTTCCAAGAGATTTCTGTGGCATTAGCCAAACATTTTTAAGTTCCAGCATTTAGCTTCAAAGATGTAACGCCACAGCAAATGAAACATTCAATTTTCACATCGGGCTATTGATTTAAAGATTTCTCACTTTTTTTTTTATTCTCAATTATACTATGTAATACACATATACACATACATACATACATACATACATACATACATATTTATATAGCACAACGCAAGCAAAGTGGAAGTCGATTTAGTGGAAAACAAATACATAATAGCGAATTCCATTTTCCCCTAAGGAATGATGATGCCACTAAACTAGAAGGCTGGAAAAGAGGAATGAAATATCTAACAAATTTCAATTTTACAGGATTGAAGTGTAGGAGTTATACATATATTTTTTTAATAAATAAATGTTTGGTGTTTGTGATGCTTGGCATAATAAATAATAAAGTAAAAAGTATTGACGCAAAAAGGCATACATATACATACATACATATAAGGACTTTGCTTACTGCAGACAAACGAGAAATTCCATGTCCAGAGCGGTGCACTGGAAAATTATACTTATACTTACAGCTGTTGAATATGATGACGATAAAAAAAAAACCAATGTTGAAACTTATATGTATGTGAGACGAAAACGAAAAAATAAATAAAATTAAACTATGTGCATTATTTAATAATGGTATGAGGTGTATTGTAAACAATTATTACTATATACATACATGTAGAAATGGTGGTACACTGAAGGCGAAGTGTAAAAAAAAAAACAAAAAAAAAAATGCAATTTATGATGAATATGAATAATTACTTGTTTATTATTATAAATATAGCATAGATAATGCAAGATAAAAAATATTAAATCTATATAAAGATTATTGCAAATATATACCTAAAATATATATATATAATAAACATATGATATACAAAAAAAGTTTTTTCGCATTCCACTTATTGGGAAAATGTCGAAGGTAATACAAGAACAAAATTTATTATATTGAATGGATTATTTATGAAATGAATATCCTACCACAAAGATTTAAGCTTAACAAGTACATATGTATGTAAGTATGAGTTACGATAGGTCGGTTTTACACTGGAACATTTCTGCCAAGAGAACAACTCAGTCTGAAGGCAAGAGAGGCAGTGCGGTGAGGTAAAATTTCTCAAAAAATTGCTCCAGCTTCTACCCCGCATTAAAGTAACAGTTCTGCTGCAGCGCACCAACGCATGCGCAACCACGAAAATGCCGCTACGCAAGTTTCAACCCAATTTGCCACAGGGCGAAGACGACGTCGTTGCGACGTCGCTCTGACGAAGTATTTTTTTTAATCTTATTTTTGTCTCCCAGGAGGTGTTTGCTTTCATTACATGAAACTATGTATAATCGTTTCTAGATTCGAACATTTTCGTGACAATTACTGCACACCGGCACTGCAGTGTTGAGTTGTTATGTACATATGTATGTAATTTTGTCACTTCTAATGTTTATAAAAATAGGTGTCCTACCAAATATTTATATTTATTGCATTATAAACTTTTCGACACCCAATATTTGTTCATGAAACATTTTCCATATCGTGTGTTAAAACTTCCCTGCAAAAATGCTACATCAGTTATATGCCAGCTTTGTGAAAATTTATTACGACTGGTATATTCTTTTATAAAAATTATAGCAGACTACATTTTTAGAAAACCTTCCATCATAACATAGGGACAAATTGTGCTGATCCGCTTATAATTATAGCTGTGGGCTCAAACATATTTCAGAGTCCTGTGTGACTTGTTTGCAACTGCTCAATTGAAACTGATAACTGTTCCAGTCGTTGGACTAGTTGTAACATATTTTCCTGTGCCTTAGCTGAATTCAAGTCGTTAACATTTTCTAAGGAGTCTTCCTCGGCAGCGGCCAATTCGAAGTGTAATTTAGCTAAGCTCTCCTGTTGCTCACGTATTTTTGTCATTTGTTCCATCGTGCAGCCGGAGCCTAAACAGGACATAACTTGAGTTTTAAAATTTATCGCATGCAACCTACCTACCAAAAGCCTTTAGTTTACCGGAATGGAAATCGTCCAGAAGGCCTAAAAGCGCTCGCTCCATGTGTTTCACGTCCGGTACTTCTGAGACAAATGAGTGATGCTTAATAGGACGCTCATCAAATTTATCAAGTCTAGAGCCACTGTCGCCATTGCTGGTGTTAAGATTAGAAGGAGAAGGATCGTCGGCAATTGTTTTCTCATGTAGCATGCGCAGGTCCCCTTTATCATCGGAGCTATAAATTTGTTGGCTGTCAGTAATACCATCGCTGTTATTATGGAATATTTCGCTGCTTACTACTGTGATGCTGTTGATGCTATGATCGCTACTGCATGTTTCATCGGCCTCTTTCAGCACAATTATTAAATGTGGTGATTTACGTTTTCGAGAATATTTAATGTCCAAACGATATTAAATAAAAAAGTAAATTAAAAACAAAAAACATAAATAATTTAAAACAAATTAAAAAATTCATACATCCATTATAAGGATATAACTGCAATTCATACGAGTATAATAATAACAATAATAAACATAACGAAACTTAATGGACGTCATTTTTAAAGATTGATATAATTCCTTGATCTGTAATAGATCACAGGAACGTGGTTTATGCAAAAGTGTAAAAATGTTCATTGCTTCTTTACGAAGTAATTGCAAAACTTAGTATTTAAAAAATAAATCTCTCCAGTTCCAATTCACTTTTTGCTTTATTCAAAACCGTAACTAGTTTACTTCTGTAATTATTTCACATATTTTAGGTTTGTGGGGGGGTAAACTACCGACCTTTGTAGAAAGGTGGTACATATGTACAGTGATTTAAACAAGACTTCACAAATACATTTTTTTTTTGTTATTTAGCTGCAAAAATATTGTTCAGGCTTTAACCACAGACATAGAAAAATAGCAAAATTCAAAAAAAAATTCATCAAAATTTCGATCTTTAAACATTTTTGGGTATGCGAAGTTTGATTAATTTTTTTTGAAACTTGTATAAGCTTTGAAGCTTTTATTTATGTGGTATCTGATGTAGATCGGGCCATATTTTAAATTAAAATTATTAACAATAAATAAATAAAGATAAGTTGCCAGCAGTATCATTTTGAATTTTGCTGCTATTATTTTGAACGCTACTATACATACATATTTGAAGAAATATTTGCTCTGGAAGTTGGTCTCTTGTAAAATTCGAAAAACCGGGCTTAGCAATGTTTCACCCTTAGCTAGCGGAACACTTTTCGATTGTTTTAATTTGACTTTATGAAATGCTCCTGGCGAACATTGAACGTCCAATTTGCATATTAGTTAATTTTTATTTACATACAGAGCATAAAATCGTCCTCCTCTTCTTGTTTCTGCAAACAATTGCAAGTTTGCGACTGGTTTACTTTTTTGGGTTTTAGCCAGATTTTTTTTTTAAATCCTCTCAATTAAGTAGCGAATTGCATAGAAATAATTCTGGTATTGCCAAGTATCGCCCTTGATTTTAATGCTGGCTGATTTCGAACGGAACTATACATAGTTGTTACATTTTTGTCTGATAACATAAAACTTTTTAAGTTAAGGAAGTGATATTGATTTGAATAAGCACTAGTTTTTGAAAATTTTATATGTGAAAATGCTTGGGGACGTGTAGATATAAAGTAAACTTCTTACTATTTGACGTCAATGCTAGTGCAAATTTTAAAACATACTGCATTTAAACTAAAATAAACAATACGCAGAATGGAATGGAGACATGTAAGAAACTAAATGAATATTAAATCGATTGAAACAAAAATTAACAATGCATTGAAATGAACAGAATTGCACACTTAAACAGTACATAGTAGTATGCTTAAGCTCCTTCATAAGATATGCAAAACACCAGCATATGGCATTTAACAGTGGCTGTGAATGTACATCAAGGATACTTTAAAGGTAAATAAAAACTAATTTAATTACCTTTCAGTAGCTTTCGTGGTCGTGATTTAAAGTCGAGCCGCTCATCATTGCTACAACCTCCTACGCTTGCACTTCCATGCAAATGCGGTCGTGGACGACGCTCATTTACGTATGTAACTTTAGCCGACGTTAGTTGTCCTTTTTCTGATGTGCGCTCTATGGAACAACTAGCGGAATTTCTACTACGAGTTGTGTCACCACTGGACATGGTTTTTATCTACAAAAAAAATTATTAGGCAATCAGCTTTATTTTTCACTTGAGCTTATTATATTACATTAATTTTTGGCACTGTCGGGGAAGGTGGAGAAGCTACGGATATTGGATCTGATTGTGGTATGGTCGACAGGTTGTTATGGTCCTCCTCGCCATCGATGTCGTTAGAAACTAGCTTTTGTCTTTCCACAACCTCATCATTTGTCTCCATATTCTCCTAATTTCCGCGCGCAATCAATACTTTAGTTTTTAGCCCAAGACATTTTCAGCTAATTTATTAACAGATTAAAATTAAGCAAGTATTTTTCACACTTTTTTCACAATCATCCCAATTTCCAAAACAAATGAGAATCCGCATCAATAAACTAATTTGGCAATATTCATACAGTGACTGCAAAAAACACTAGGTATGATTCCTAACTGTGAAGATACACGATCAAGAACTTGCATTCAAGCATCAAGGATGACATGATACGCAACTCTCTCACAGGGCTGCCAGACGCTTAGAGTCTAAAATGCGTACACGGACAAAAGGTGGTGGGTGAAAAATCCGTACGCTCAAATTAGTTTGGCGACCAAAAAAAAATCTAAGTGGTAAACACAGAAACCGTATTTTAAATAACATCAAATAAAACAGCACATATTTCCACTAGTCCTATTTGTTGATTGCTTCACAGACCTTATAATTTTTCTGACTAAAACTTTTTAACAAACACTGTGATCTTAGTTTATGTACATGTAACAAAACTTTTCAGGTAGGTTGTCAACCCCACCGAGTAACAGTATAATGTTTAAAGCGATGGTTGAAGTTGAAAAAAATAAAGAAAATTAGAGTTTTTTTTTTTTAATTTTACGCGACAAAAGCTTCCAACAATCGAAGTCTACCAATATATTGTTAAGGCTGGCTTTCATTAGGTCAAAATCACTGACATCAAAAACTACCTTCATCTGAAAGCTGTTCAANGTTTTTTTTTTTTAATTTTACGCGACAAAAGCTTCCAACAATCGAAGTCTACCAATATATTGTTAAGGCTGGCTTTCATTAGGTCAAAATCACTGACATCAAAAACTACCTTCATCTGAAAGCTGTTCAATTGATGTCAAATGCGTTTTCATTACATTTTAAAAACTGACCAAATGTCGATACCGCTGTGCATGTCAAAGACTGTCGTCAAATTTCGGTGTCAGTGATTGACATTCCGTTTTCATTACTGATGTCAAATGTGTTGTTAAATTTTTACAAAAAGTGTAGAATACCGACCTTTTAGCTATAGACAAATCAAAAATGTAATTCATGTTGGTAAAAATCGAAATTGTATATATATTTTCTTTAAATAGCGTTTAACAAAAATTTGTTTTAAAAATGGTTATAATAAATACGTCCTAAAAAAGCTATTAAAATTGGCCCGTAGTCATAGTCAAAATAAAGTCGACTTTAAAGTTAGTTGCAGCTTTTTGACATAATTTTCAATGGGATATCTGTCAAAAAAGCTGCAACTAACTTTAAAGTCGACTTTATTTTGACTATGACTACGGGCCATTATCTTTGAATTGGCATCAATACTTTTCTAATCAGTCAAGTAGTTTCCGTGGTATTAAACATATAAAAAATAAGAAAGTTGAAGTTTAACATGTTATGTTTTTTTTGTGTTTTACTTGTAGCTAGAATCAGCTGTTCCCATGGCAAACGAAATCAAAATTGCCAACATGTTGGCAAATACATTTTGATTGTCAAATGCTGCCACATCAGCGGCGAGGGCCGATTTCATTTGGATGTTGTTTTGTATGACCGTGCGTGCGATATATGACAACAAACGCAAATGACCCCAAATGACAACCCGTTTTCATTATAATGACAACTTTTTACGTCAAATATGAGCTAATGAAAACCAGGCTTTATACGTAATTTTAAAGCCCTATAATTCAATTATAGTTTAGAAATAAAAGAAACTGATGCTTTGGCTTGATGCATTTCTGAACACAGTCGCATTTAGCTCTAAATGCTACTCTAAATTTACATTTATCCATACAAATTTCGTCACCTAAATGCAACTCCATCTCTGCATTAAGGGTCTAAATGCTAAAAGCAACTCTGTGATCTCCAAAAATGTCCACGATTCGAAGTAGGTTTCATGAGAAAAAGTAGCAAGTGATCGCCGATCGAGATTTCATTTATTGTTTTTTTTGTGAATTAAGGTAACAAAATCTATATATGTGCATATATATATATCTGTGTTGGTTTGGAGTAGTAGCTTATGTCGGGAAGCGGGCTTTAGTATAATGCGGCATACCCTTTATTCTCTAAGGGCAAGTTTTTCAGTGCACGGCCGTGGTTTAAACTAATAGCGTTTTATTTTCTCGAAATAATGTTGCATTTATTCTACCCTGTGCCGGGGCTATTAAGTTTTCTCAGCATCTTCGCATGCATATTGCGTGCTCTTTCCTTAAAATGTTGCACTCTGATAATGTTGCCATATAAGCGGTGACATTTTTTTCGAGAAAAGAAAACGCTATAAGTTTAAACGCCCGATCCGGCTGGTTTAAACTAAGATCAGCCAATCAAATGTCAGCCAGCTGTTCAATTTAATATAGTTTACTTAATCTAAGTTTAAACTGGCACTGAAAAACTGGCCCTAAATGACAAGGAATTTTTAGATGAGACTTAATAAGAATATTGTCTTGCTGGTATCGAAACTATTTCTTGCACGTTTATTTGCCAAAAACTCTTCAACAGATCGGCGCCAGTGAGTCATTCGCAATCGTATACCTTTCGATATAAGCTACTATTCCATACGAACACAGATATGCGCACATGTGTATAACTTGATGTTAGATAACTTTTCTTGAGGTTTTGTTGAAACAATTTTTTATGAGTGGCAACCATGTGCGGAATTTAAGTTTTTCCCAAAAAATTCCTTATCAAGTAGACTTTTTGGAATATATGACAAGTAATTTTTAAGCAAAAAACCAAACCCACTTCAATTCTCATATACAAATTTAGGATTATCGTTAATTTGTTCATAATCGAATGATCGGATTTAAACCAAACTAGTATAGGACCACCTGTGAGGTAACACCTTTCCTTTAAAAAAAGAATTATAGAAATCGGTTAACGTGGTCCAAAATTATGCGGTAACATAGATTACAAAAAAAAAAATATTCCGACGAATTGATAACCTTCTGCTTTTTGTGAAGTCGGTTAAAAATAGAAGTTTACAGAAACAATCGTTATCGCAAATTCTTGACAATTGCAATTCACTTCCGAGTGAATTTCAACCCCTGTGGCCTGTGGGATTGGCTGTACAATTTAGTTGCGAGAATCGATTTTGTAATCCATCTCAATTAGTATACACTACTTCTTTTCAATTACTTAACTAGTGAAAGTTTGATTATTTGATTCATTTTGATTAATTTAATTGTTTATTTAACTAGTCATTTCTAAATTTATTTAAGCCGACTTCTTCTTGAAACCCAATGCATAGATCATTTGGACTATGCCTGCAAGTCCTATGCCGCAAAGCCCAACCGTCAAACCAAACAATACTTTGTCTACTGGTCCTCCCTTTAAGAAAACTGGAAGATCGTTATGAGCCTAGAAATAATTAGTTAATAAATTTAGTCTCGGAATTTTATATTCTGAAATATTACTTGAAATTTCTTCATGCTATTTGCAAGTCCATCCGGCAATGCCATTTCTGTTTCGTAAATAATTGCGTAAGTAATCCTAAAATAAATAATAAAATCAAACGCAAAATATATCTTTGAAGCACTGAGCGTTATACGTTTTTGAAAATTATTTTCGTTATTTTCTAACTCTTTAGTGCAATTTCAGACCTACCAAGGAAATTTGTATCTACTTATATATGCAGTTACTTTCGCAAGATGCAGAATGTATGTACGCGAATGATGGAAGAGATATCCATATGTAAAATTAGATTTTGGCATGCATACATGCACACTCACTATGTGCATATCGCACACTATCTTCAAGAGGGGCATAACTCAAAAAAAAAAGAGGTTGATTTTTTGGCATAAATCAATTCTTAGGGTTTATCTCTAGTTAATGCAAATATTTTTTTCTTCATGATTATGATCTCTAACTAGAAAACTACTGTTATACCTGATTTTGTATTAATTACGCTGAATCTGTACGATCCATAAGCAGTTATATTTTCGAGTCTGATTTTTGAGTTGTGTCTCTTTTGAAGATTGTGTGCGATATGTATGTATGTGCATAGAGTGTGAACTGATTACTCGGTTTTTCTTAATTGTCCTAATTCAATGCAACTATTTGCAACCGAAACTACCAAACTAAAGGTGCGGTGAGACGTGGCAATGCAATCGCTTGTCAAAATGCGAAATTGAAAGTCTACTTTTCCGTGTACGGAGCCCGAAAGTCCTTTTTGCAGATTTGCAGAAATCACTTCGGAAATAAAAATTGCAAGGTGTATCTGCAACTGAAATTATGCATATAACTTTCGAGAAATAATTGCAACTTCTCGTGCTGTACTAGCAATTTTCATTTTGGCTGCAAGTGCTGTCAAACAGATCGAGTGTTGCCGTGCGACACGATTTTTGGCGAATTTGTACAAAATTCGAAAATTGTTGAATGAAATATAAAAATATGTGTAATGAATTTATTCTACTGATATAGAGTATTTAAGTATTAGGGCCGGTTACTCAATGTCTGGTTAACACTAATCTCCGGTTAGACATAGTTATCGACGTTACCGACTCCCTGTTATATGCATGGAGTCGAAGTCGTCGATAACGATGTTTAACCCCCGATTAGTGTTAACCAGACATTGAGTAACCGGCCCTTAATGTATTTCAGCTAGGGATGAAACGATACCATGCAGGTATCGATACTTTGATTGATACTATTGATGCCTGAAAAATATCGGACCTAAAGTATCGATACCTGTCCATATAAGGTACTCATTGAGTATTCCGTATTAAGTTAAATTAAAAATGCGTGTCTCTTTTTTTCTCAGAAATAAAAATATTTTGGTAGCGTTTATGAATTTCCAAATAGAGTGTTTTTTTTGAACCATTGAACATTTTCTACAGACTAGAATCGGAAGTAGTGCTTAAATTTTCTGGGCTTGGGATACGTTTAATATTTTCTAAGAATTTTTTTTTTTTTTTGATTCAGCTCTTTTCCTTAATTATTTTTCTTCAATAACAGCGCTATTTGGCCCTACCCATATATGTCAAATCAAAACGAGAAAGTCTAGTACCGTTTCTGTGAATGTATTAGCTCTGATCCAATACTTTTCGTGAAAAATCCTGTAAAACTGTCAAACAGCAAAACTACTCTCTGTAGTGAGAGTAAAAGGTGAGTAACAACAAGAAGTACGGGAACAAAAAAAACATTTTTCCTGTAAAAACGTCAACCAGTAATTGCTTGACACTTTTCATGATTTTACCAGAAGAAAAAGTTCGGGTAAAATCTTGCAACTTCATTCTCTACACAACTCTCCAAAAGTCGCTCTCATTTACAGGATTTTGGAGGATTTCGGAGTACGGGAACCTTTTTCCTGCAACTTCCTGCAAGTTCGTGCAAAATCCTATAAGTTCATGGAGCGAGATTTTCCAGCACGTGAAGACGGCCGGTTACCGAAGATTTTGTGGCCGGAAAATTGTATTACCAAAAAATGTTACCACTTCTTGTCACCGAGATTCTAGGTACGTTGGTAATGCAGTGAAAATATTCAGCAGTTCAGCTATGGAGATTTGTGGAAATTCTTTTGTTGCATATTTCACGGGGCAATATTTTGTTACCAGCTCATGAGATGGTAACCAAATTTACCGGTTACAAGAGCGCACAGAATGCGAAAAAGGTTTAAAAATTGACAGACACTTTAATTACCGGTTACAAAATTTATGTTATCAGCGCAGAATAGACCTGTAAATGGAAAATGATTTTTTATTTGCTGTAAGTTTTTATATAAAATTCAAAAAACTTAAATCATTTTTAATTTAAAATGCTTTCGTGAAATTGGCTGTTTGACATTTTATGACAGTTTTGTGCACACTTTAGCAGGTTTAGTAAATTTTTCAGGTCATTAATTTTGTTATAAGCATACAAATGTACGGCAACATAACTGAAAGTGAACTTGTCTGCATTCACCGTGTAAACAGACAAAAAGTAGTATCGGAAAAATTGATTTTCAGAAATAAAAACTGCCTTCTGTTTAGGAAACTCTTGACTTTGACAGACTTTTGAAAAGGACATGCACTTGCCACGTCTAACAGCTACTTTACTTTGGAAAACATTATGGGACGGTTTCACATACAAACTGAAGTCGAGTAATATCGTCACCTGGGTAAAAGATTGTCGAATGTTACTTTCGGCAGGGTTTGGGAAATCGATGTTAAACAATCAGTCACAATTTCTCAAATCTGTACAGTTGTTTCTTACCAAAATTTAATGCTTGATTGTACATACTATTTAAAGTATAAAACTACGTTACATTTTCAAATAACGCACACAGCAAGTAGGCATACGGATGAAATTGTTGAAATTATTTTTTGCTTGTACGCAAAAATTTGATTCTAATACACCTGAGTTTTAAATTAATGAACAAAAATCAACAAAATATTAACAAATTTTTCAATAAGAGTTGCCGTAGCACAAACGACTATCTATTGTAAGGATTGGTGTGATTTTGTCGTACGTACCATACTATTAGTCACATAAGACAATAATTTAACAAGTAATCAATTTCATCAAACTGGTACAGAAGGATGTCAAAACGAAAGGGAATAGGAGATAATTTTCATCATTTTCTTTTGTTGACATCCTAAAGTTTCGCCGCTTCGTCTTGGATGACATTCTCCTGTACTAGTGTAGAGACAAAAATATCCAACCAGCTGATCAATCAACACCATCTTGTATTGATGCGCCTTGCTTTTTACCAGCAAATGCCATCGCTGTCGGGAATGCGCAATCTTGTATTCTATCATTCTTGGGTTCTACGCCACCTTGTTTCATTGGAAAACGAAAGAGAAGTAAACAAAGCAAAGAAAACTAGAGTCCGACCGATTCTCAATTTTCGGCGGATGCCGATGCCGATTCCCTAATGCAAAACTACCTTTAATAATAACAAAAGAAAAACATAAACAAATAACAAAACACATTACAAAAACAATAATCATCCAAGAATCTATTCAGTTATTTGTGGACATACATAATTATGTTAAACAAATAACGTGTCGCTTATACATAGGCTTTGTTTCTTTTCTTTTCTAGCAGATAATTATCAGAAAGAAGAAGAATGAGAAATTTGAAACAATTACGCTCACAGAGATCGAAATAACGAAAAAGTAAAGAAACGCAATACTAGCAGAAACTAGCAAATAATCAGCTGATCGGTGTATTTGACTATTGAAAATATATGGCGCGAATTTTTGTTTATCTATTTTGATAGCTGCTAGTTTCTGATAGTAAAAATTTTACTAGCAGAAATTAGCAGGAGAACCAAATAAAGAAGAGCGTAAGAACGAGAGAGAGGTGCTAGGTTCTGCTAAATTTTTTCGTTAAGAAACGCTTTCCAGCAGAAATTAGTGATAATTATCTGTTAAGAAACAAAGCTATAGCATTGCAATCAACGTTGCCGTTTTGATACTATTGTATCATTATTGATACATTTTTTTCTAAATTGTAAGATTTGATACTTCGATAATTTTATGTTCACATGCCCCATTTTGATACTTTCGGCTGGCAGAAATGAATTTTCGAAAATGGGCGCTAGCAAGAAAAAGAGGTTTATAAAAGTATTTTCAATAAAATATGAAGTTTAAATAGAGATAAATTGCTTAATATAGCAGAAAAAAGTGATCCAGGTGGCATAGAAAATAAACTTAACTTAACTTTGCCTTGAGATGTGAGAATAATAAGCAAAACAAATTTGACAGCTAATAATCTGGGAATTGCCTGTGTACGCAGGGTGATTAAAAAACGAGCTTTGATTGGGATTTTATATATGTGTAAACATACTTTAAGTGAAAACATCGAGTGCAACCCTGAAATATTAAACTGTGGCTGTAGAGATTGAACAAAACACCGCCGTTGTTTTACGCCGCCGCCGTTAGTGGCAATTTTGGCGCACATCAGCAACAAAAACTCATTTAACAAGTGCTGAAGTAGTTCACTCATTTGTTGTTTTCCAGTTGTATATTGGTTTTCCAAATGTGTGGTAATAATTAAGTTTGTTTTCTACGATTGCTCGAGTGAAAACAAAATAAAGTAAAATATACTCATTTAGATTTTGTATTATTGTGGTCAGCTGGCAAAGTTTTTGGGTCCAGTGTAGTGTTGTTATTGTGCGTGTTCGTGATTTTGTTTTCGGTTGTGCCATTTCTTATTAAAACATGCACTTAAAGTATATCTTTACATGTTTATCAATCGCTATCAGCACAAGCTAAAAAAAAATTAGTAGTTACTTACTATCGTGTCTACAAATGCATACATACATACATACATACATGTGTATCTATTTGTCACAATATTTATGAATCGACCTACATACATACAAACTGATGAAAATGTCCATATGCATATGAGTCAGTAATTGACTTGCAAATATTTCTACAAACATGCATATGCACATACAGTATCCGGTCAAAAGATTGGGAGATCCCATTTTTTTACTTTAAATGAGCATTCAATGTAAAACTCTGTTTTGAGAAATGCTAATGTGTTATCAACGAATAAAACTACGCTAATGTACATATGACGACATTGCCCTCATTTTCGAGTTTAGCTCCCCAAGCTGTAATTAAAAAAAAAAAAAAAACAAGGTTAAACCAACAACTTTTCGGTGTTTATCCTACTTATATCGATTATTTTTGCGAAGAGGAGAAATGTCAAATGTGAAAGTAAACAAAAAAGCGCGCTAGCAAAGGACTATCATGAACGAAAGACACAAGATCACGCCTTAAGGAAAG